AAGAGACAAAACTCTGCAGGCAGGTAAGTGGCGCGAGAGAGAGTAGCTAGGGACCAGGTAGAGGAAGGCGAGGCAGAGAGGAGCGCGTCTCACGGGCCGATCATCATCACCACCATCACGACCCCCTCCCCTCTCACCTGTGTTTCAGGGGCTGACTTTTCAGCTCATAGTAGGTCTTGGGCTCCTCGTGGAACTCCTCGCCGACCTCGAAGTCCGGCACGATCCCCGATTCCGCCTGCATGGTCCCCTTCTCTCCGGCTCCCGCCGCCACTGGGAGGGAGAAGGGGAAAGCCACGTCGCCCTCCTCGCCCCGACGAAGCGCTGCCTGCCCGCCGGTGCCCGCCCTGCGCCGGGGGCTCTCGTAGGACTCCAGCCCAAGCCTGCGCTTGACTTGCTCGCGGCGCTTTGCTGCGCGACGCTTTGCCCGCTGTCAGCTCCCTCGGCCCCCGCCCCCCTCCGCACACACCTTCCTCGCGGTCCTCCCTGGGACTTGTAGTTCGTCAGGGGCACCGGCCTGGGGCGTCCGCCCGGCTGGCTCACTACAGCTCCCACAAAGCCCCGTGACGTTGACGTCAGAGTGAGGGCGGGGTAAAGAGAGGCACCAGCGTGCGTCCTGTCAATGTCAGCACCAGCGGCTTGCCAAGGGTATATCGGCGGCTCGGCCCGCAGTCCTGGCTGTAGAGCGGTGCTTGGCTTCTCAAACGGGAAAGCCTTGATTGCACTTTGTTCATGCTTAGGGATTCTGCCGCCTTTATTATCCCCTCCGCACTGCCTTCCTTGAGATACCAAATAAGTGGGTGCCAGTGGTTTGTACCTGTTGGAAAAATGAGGACACTCTAGACATGCTCAGAGATGCTGTCACCATCATCCCGTCCTCTAGGACCAGTCCTCCAGTGCTTAGATTCACCCTTGCTTTAAGGTATGACCACCTGAAGTATAACTGAAAGCAGGTTCTGTGGAGAGGGACTAATGAATCCTGATTTAGATTGATACCAGACATAACTCAGGAAGAATTTCTGACATGAACTCTTGGGAGAAACTCTTTGCCCTAAAACTTTTTAAACCAGTCTTTTCTTACACAGAATAAAACACACACCAAGCCTGAGAAACAATGCTTTTTCCTCAAGAGCTCAGCAGGCGTTCTATGCAGTTTTAGCAAATTGGCCAAGTATTAGACCAGATACAAGATACTCTTGCTATAAAAGGTCTAAATTATTCTGAAATCTTGTGTGTGTGTGTGTGCGTGTGTGCGTGTGTGTGTGTGTGTGTGTGTGTGTGTGCATGTGCGTGTGCACGCATACCCGTGTGCTGTCAAGCTGGAACTAATTTACAGCGACCCTAATAAGGCTTTCAAGGTTAGTGAGATATTTGAGGAGTGATTTTGCCAGTTCCACACTCATACACTGCAGTGAGTTTCCATGGCTAAGTGGGGATTCAAACCCTGTTCTCCAGAGTCCTAGTCCATCACTGTATCTACACCACCACAGTGTGTAGTGTGGTGGACAGTGTGGACTCATTTATTACCAGTTTTATTGATGCGGTCTTGTTACGTTTCTACCTGCATTATTTGCATTTGAAAAGTTTTACTACTATGTTCTTTTCTCCTTGTTATCCTCCCAACAGTCCTGTGAGGTAGATTAGGCTGACACAGAGTAAGTCTGTTAAATTATACTCAGGTGACAATAACAAGTGCACTTTACACGTTTCTCTCGGGCCGTGGGCCACTGCTGGTTATTCTCTGCATTCTGGAGACCGGGGACCTAACCGAAAGGTGTCCATAGAATTAATTTGGGGTACAAAATTCATGAATGATGTCTATGGATTGTTGATCTGATTGCAGGCTTTTAAAAGTAACCTGTGTACATTTAAAGAAATGCAAAATTTAGATGTTGAGGGGGAGAGCCCCCTCCTGTGGACACCCATGTGTCTAACCTGTTCACATCTGTAAATGCTGTCAACGGTGCTGCCTCCCACTGGCCCTGGAGAGTGGGCAAGCTTAGACCACAATTGCCTGGGCCAGTAACTTGGTTGTTTCATCCGCCTGTTGCTTCTTCTAAAATCTCTTCTGATTGGATCCAGATCATTGTCCAATAGCTGGGGCCCCTGAATAACCAGAGGAAAATAAGCCTGCATAAAAATCCTCATGTGTGTGCCCAATGTTGTCTGATTTCAGTTCCTACCACTTCCAGCTAGAGTGGCCAAAGATCAAGGATTATGGGTTTTGGACTCCAACAACATTTGTGAGCCCACAGGTCTTCCAGCCCTAATCTATGTTTCAGCTTCATTTTATTTCCCTTGTGGTAACAGTCTTACATCCCCAACATAGACCAGACTCCCTAGAATAGAGGTTGGTGGCTGTGGCCTTCCAACTATTTCTGGCCTACAATCCCTGTCAGTCCTAACCACCACAGCCAATGGGGATGGATTATGCAGAGCTGCTGGCCAAAAACAGATGCCTTCATTTAATTTGGGATCTGCATCAGGAGGAAGAGGAGAAGAGAGTTGTAACACTGCTGGTCTTGGATATGGAAGGACACCATGGGCTACAGAAGTGCACCCCTTGGGTTTTGACATTGTGGACTGGGCTGGGAGTCCTCGAAGGATCGTGAAGAGCTAGCTGTGTTGCTCTTCCTTGTCAGAAAGGACCGAATCGGCATCCCACCCACATATGAAATTAGTGAACAAAGCAGATAGAACAGAGGAAATGGCTTCTTTGCAGTTCCAAGGCTTGACTCCTCTCTCCTTTACAGAGAGAATACTGGAGGGCAATGTGTCAGAGAGAGAGGCATCCGAGGCAGGTAATGAATCATTTGAGAAGGAACAGACTAATTCAAGAAAGGTTCACACCTCCCTCTTTTTTTCCCAACCGCGCACGTTTTCAACAAGAGAGAACTACCTATGTGATGAGGCCAGTATCTTTTTAAAATGAGTAACCATAATTTGAATACAAATTAGATGATGTAATGATTTGTATTAGAATAATGTTCTCTTGAATACATGTTTGACTCATTTACATGTTCCTTAGCTTCAGGCCAGGTGGAGTTGGGTCTGCAGCACAGTGGAAGTGAAACTCAGAGGCCTGACACTGTTAAAAAATGGCAGATGATTTGGAGACAGTCTCATTGCCTCTGTTCTCTTTCTTTAAAATGAGAGACATTAGTGGCTTGAGGAGCATCACTGTGTTGGTGGCTGTCAATGCTAGCAGCATTATAACATGCGTATGAAAACTGGTCCCCATTATTCTGAATGGGGGAGTTTACACTTTTTTTAAAAAAAAAAGTATTTTTTTTAGAAATTTTCTAATACGCTAATAGGGACGTTGTGGCGCTGTGGGCTAAACCGCAGAAGCCTGTGCTTGCAGGGTCAGAAGATCCGGCAGTCGTAAGATCGAATCCACGCAACGGAATGAGCACCCGTCGCTTGTCCCAGCTCCCGCCAACCTAGCGGTTCGAAAGCATGCAAATGCAAGTAGATAAATAGGTACCACCTCGGGGGGAAGGTAAACAGCGTTCCGTGTCTAAATCACACTGGCCATGTGACCACGGAAATATTGTCTTCGGACAAAAACGCTGGCTCTATGGCTCGAAGAGCGGGATGAGCGCCGCCCCCTAGAGGCGGCCACGACTGGACAAAAATTGTCAAGGGGAACCTTTACCTTTACCTTTTAATAGAAGTATGCCTGAATCTCAGTCGGTTGGAGCACTGGTGGTTGTGCCGTTCAAAATACAACAAATGCTCATGATGGTTTTGCCAGGAGTATCTCTTTACTTTCTTCCATATAAATAAATGGTTGCCATGTACATTTCTGTACATACTGACTCATGTGATTTATTTATTTATTTTTGTCTGTTGTGATGATTTAAATGGTTTTGGTTAATAGAATATTTTAATGGTTGTATTGCCTATTTTAAAGACAAATACTTATTTTTGTTTCTTAAAACATTCGTAGCTGCCTTGAGTGCTATCCATTGGTGGAAGGATGGCATAAAAAAAGTAATTAAAAAGCCCAAAAGATAAATAGTATATTTGCCAACAGAAATGTGAAACCTTTCTCTGGCAATGGGTGGCAGTGTTATCATTGAAAGGGGTTCTACCAGAAACATGGGAAATCCTTTTCTTTTTTTCTGGAACAGTTCCTGGAATTCCATAGCTAGCATGGCCACTGGAATTTGGGATATTGTATTTCTCACAAGTAACTTTTCCTAGTTCTACCTGGAGTTTTGCCCAAGGAATCTTCACCATTCAAAAACCCTCCCTTCTCTTTCTCATACACACATACATACACACAAAGAGAGAGTCCGTAATTCTGTTGTCTGACTTTACGTCACATAAGGATGATTACATCATCAACCACAGTGTTTTTTCATAAATTAAAATTATCCAATTCCGTCCCCCCAAAACATTGAAGGTCCTTAGGCTCCATGGGATCCCTTTCGTCGTGGTAAATCTCTTAAACAGCATGGGACAGGGGGAAGTCTTCTATTTTCTGAAATTAAATCTTCCCTCGAATTGCAGCTACCAAAGGCTTCCCTGCCATCAAAGGGAGCCTCAGAACGGGGCCGTGGGAATACGGCAGCTGTTGGATATTTTTAATTTATGAAGAACTTCCATGGCTGACATTATCAGCCTTACTCGCAGTAAAGCTACACAACAGGATTTCGACCACTTCATTTTAATATGGGTCCACTTTTTTTCTTCAGTGGTTGTAGGCAGAGATTTGTTTATTCAGGTAGACCCTTGGCATCCAAGTGGGTTTTAATTGAGGGGGGTTGATGTTTCTTTTGACTGATCTGTTTTCAATTGTTGTTAGCTAGTATCTATTTTTTATTGTTCCCTTTTTTCACCCAGTGTTATGTTTTTAGCTGCCTTGCATGCTTCTATTTTTGGCAGGAAGGAGGGGATGTAAAATTTATCAAATTAATTAAAGTCATATTATGAATGCCTAAAGATCTTGGTCATTACAGCAGCAGTCATACTAAATTTAGCAACGCGAAGTTTCAACAATGCGAGCAGCTCTTTAAAGTAATGAGTTACAACTAGTTTCTGCAACATGTGGCTTTTATAAGGTTGTGTCTCATAAAGCAAAGCAGTGAGTGGGAATTACGTTAGCTTTTTATTTTATTTTTCTTATTATTATTTTTTCTGTAATAGGTTTTCAAGTTGTTTCCTTCTTTATATTGTTAGAGAATTTGGGAGTCTTTTAGAAAGCCCTTTTAAAAATAAGTTATAAAAAGTAATGAATCCTGAAAGAAGTTAGTTTTTAAACAAGATCAGTCAGTAACAATAATAGATTTGCTTTTTTTAAAAGCTTTAATAAGAAACAAAATTAATTATTTTCAAAAAGCAACTTCCAAGGTTCTGAATGCAAGTATTATTTGTTTGATTTTTGTGCACATTTTACTTGCTCTCACTCCCCTCCTCCATGG